TGACTGCTAACCAGAAGGCTGGCAGTTCAAACCCACCAGCCACTCCTCAGAAGGAAGGTTGGGCAATCTACTTCCGTAGTGATACCTCCTCGGAAACCCAAGGAGGGGTCGCTATGAATCGGGTCCAACTTGACAGCAAGTAACAACAACAACAATGACATTTTGAAAGGAGTTCTGGTGGTGTAATGCCTAAGCCATTTGACTGCTAGCCAGAAGGTTGGCAGTTCAAACCCACCAGCCACTCTGTGGAAGAAAGCTGGAACAATCTACTTCTGTAAAGATTCACCACCTTGGAAACCCAGTGGGGGTTGCTATGAGTCAGAGTCGACTCAGTGGCAGTGAATTTGTTTTTTGGTTTTTTTTTTTTCATTTTGGAATGACGTTTTGAAGTAGCCTTGGTGATGCAATGGTTAAGTGCTCAGCTGCTAATCAAAAGGTTGGTGGTTTGAACCCACACAGCAGCTCTACAGGAAAAAGACTTGGTGATCTGTTCCCATATGGGCCGTCCTCTGTCATACAGGGTTGTCTAGACTGGATTTGACTCCATGGCAAACAACAATAATAACATTTTAGCTATGCTTCTTTGTGTTATTTTTTTATGGTTGCTTTACAGATAATTAGGAGCTCTGGTGGCATAGTGCCTAAGACATCTGACTGCTAACTAGAAGGCTGGTGTTTCAAACCCACCAACCACTCCTCAGAAGGAAGGTTGGGCAATCTACTTCTGTAGTGATACCACCTCGGAAACCCAAGGAGGGGCTGCTATGCATTGGAACCAACTCAACGGCAGTGTGTTTGGGTTTTTTGTTTTTTTTTTTTAGTTTTATGGATAATTATGTGCTTCCCCAGCTTAAACAATTTACTTGAATTAATATCATACCACTGAATGGATGAGTGGTAACATTACAACTATATAATTCGATTTTTAGCCCTTCTGTCCTTATACTAGAAGCTCTGGTGGTGCAGAGGTTAAAGCATTCAGCCGTTAACCAAAATGTCAGCAGTTTATACCCACCAGCCACTCCTCAGGAGAAAGATGAGGCAGTCTGTGTCTGTAAAGATTGACAGCCTTGGAAACCCTGTGGGGTACTTCTTCTCTGTCCTCTAGGGTCGCTGTGAGTTGGGATCAACTCAGTGGCAGTGGATTTGGTTTCATTTGGTCCTTCTGCTGTTGATATCATTGTATTTTACATCCATATTTTTTGTAAACCCATGATACATTGTTGTTAATATTTTTCTTGTGAAAAATCAGTTGACTTTTAAATAAGTTAAGAAAGAAAAATTATTTTTTATATCTACCAATATATCTACCATTTCTAATACTCCCTGGCCTTTCCTGTAGATCCAGACTTCCATCTGCTATTATTTCCCTTCAGCCTAAAGAACCTCTTTAGCCTTTCTTGAAATACAGTTGGCTCGCAACTAATCCCCTTATCCTTCTTTTATCTAAAGATGGCTCTATTTTATCTTAAGGTTTTTGTTGTTGTTGTTGTTGTTAATTGGTGATTTGCATGACAGTTTACAGAGCAAATTCATTTTCCATACAACAGTGCATACACATTTTTTTTCATGACATTGATTGCAATCCCCATAATATAACAGCTCTCTTCCCACTTCCTCCCTGTGGTTACCTTTTCCCTGTGTCCTTCTTTCCTCTGCATTCCTGCCCTCTGATCTGTGTCCCTGTACAAACACTTCCCTTCTGATCTCCCATGGTTGACTGTTCTAGGGAGTGTACCTCCCTGGTATAAATGTTCACCTTATATGTCTGTCTGTTATTTGCCTGGAAGCCACAGGAGTGAATTCTTTTCCAGGCCTGAAGGGTAACTAGGGACCATAGTCTTGGGGATTTCACCAGTCTCTATCAGACCAGTAAGCCTGATATTTTACCTTAATTTTTAAAATGTATTTTCTTTTTTTTTTTATTAGGATTTGGGTGAAGATTTACAGAGTAAATTCACTTTTCATACAGCAGTTCACATATACTTTGTCTC